TTGTAAACCATTTTGTATGCGACTTAGAGACGACATTCGATCGAGAGCAACGTATTATACAGCGTCCGGTAGCTGCGTCCGGTCTTTTCGTACCACCAAAAAAGGTGCGAACATGTTATTTATAGTCGTGACGAATACTTGTGTCGTCCTCAGCAAATTCATTTATTTTCAGAATGAGGGAGAGGCGTAGGTGTCGTGAATTTGAATGCATACGGGATTATTCTCCGGTTATATTCGGTTAGTCGAGTCATAAAAACAAAAGACTCAAGAACCTCCTGCCATTGTAATAGCCAACAAGGTCTTTAAAGTTCAAGGCGAATAAGTATATTTAGGCTATAACAGCAAAACGTACGTGAACATGTTTAATGCAATATAAGGCATCGGTTCCGCACGATTGAGGAGGCAGTGCAGCAGTGGTCGGCCGCGGCAATGCGCCGGCATCGGTAGTGCGACATTGGCACAATTCTACGCGACCTCACCACGCTTGACGCCACGCGAGACGCGGCCGAGGCCACTAAAAATGCTCCAAAACTTTATATCGCTTACTCTGTTCGGAATTCCGGCATGCCTGAATCATTCGGTTAATTTTGTACTAGATACGCCATCATTCATATAACCTAAACGACCACACCCGCGCACAACATCAGCCGCATGTGCCAACTACGCAGTGCGAAGTATCTACCTTTTTGCAAGCAGTAGTTACCAAGGGCTCTTTGCGCAACCAACAATAGCTCTCACGATACCGCAGAGGTTCGAATGCACCAAAAGTTATACAACTGACGAAACTGAGACGTACGGGTGGATTACCGTGCGCCCGGAATTATGCAAATACTTCGCCGTAATGTGGCAGTCTTGCTCCACACTTTAGTAACTTGGTTTCAAAACATTTTCAAAATAGTCGGCGTAGGCGCGCCGGTATGCTCGATCGACTGCTGTTCTATCAGCGTTAGCCTCGGGCGGAATTTGAGTGCACGATATCATATTGCGTGCAGTTTAAGAAATTATGTCGGACTCATCGCGTGTAGAAAAGTTGAATTTAAATAACTTTTAACTGAAGTTCTAATTTAGAAGGAGATTTAGTGGCAGCCGGTGGCTGGGCCGGTATGCGACGCGGCGGCGTCTACCGGGTGGCGAGGCGTGCGTCTATCGCGGACTAATTTGGCACATCCGCTGGCAAGCGCCAGCACAAGACCGTAAATACATATCTTCACAGACGTGCGAATTGTAATATTTCGCTCATAGTGAAACAACGGATTACTAGTGCTACAAGTATACCTAAACGTGTGCTCTATTTATAAGGTATAAATTAATAAGTTTGTGTTTAACTGACAGTATTTTTTTACCGTTGCAGCTTGATTGCATCTCAAGATCACTAACGTGTTCATGATCACGTTCCCATTTTGCTGTAAACACAAATGTATCTACTTGCGTAATCAAATGCCGTTGTAATACAGTCATTGTTTGCTGTATATTCAATCATCCAACGCGACTTATGAACACTGTTACGCAAAAAAAGTCGGGTTTTGTTCTGTTACCTGGAACGTTTCGGAGATATTATTATTTTGGCGCTGAGTGGGCGTGATGGGTCGGTACAATGCAGCGACGACAATTTTTATACCTGAGATTATTTACAAAGGATATTACGTATCTACGGGAACTGGCACCGTTGAGTCTGGTTGGAAAAGAATATTGTACAAATCTCTATTGTAAGGTTTGCGTAGCAAATACTTTTAAAAACTCGCTAGTGGACAATACCTGGCTTCGTCATGTGAATATTTCCGGTTCGTAGTGTAATGTCGCTTGTCGGTAATGTTAAAATTAAGAACGCATTATTCGAACAATAACAGTTTGTGTTCAAACATCCGGCTATCCATCGTGAAGTCATTGACGTCGACGTCAATACTTTTAAAGGTATAAGATGTGTAGTTTGTAAAAGTGAGGTAAACCTATAGGAATTGGAAATTATTTTTTTACTCTTACTTTTTAGATATATGACTATAAGTAGTAATGTGATACTTTTGGTAGGAGTGCAACAGCACATTACTGTTATTGTGTAAAAGCATCCTCGATTTACTTCTCCAAATTCTGCTTCCGGATATACGGTTCAAGTTTTCTTTGAATAATTTCCAGTTTCTAATAAATCTCATTTGTTGCTTGTTATAAGTAACACGTGGCAACAGAGAAAGTAGTATCCGCTATTCAACGGCTATTACTGTCGATCAACGGCTCTAAAGAGCACACTATAACGGATATGCAACCCAGATATTGTGACAGTAGTTTAATTTTAGAAGCCTACAATTTTGTTAAGTGAAAATTAATTATATGTGCATTTCTTATTATAAAAAAAGAGACTTCCGTAAAATATATAAACAGAATCTATTGGTTATTTTAACAGTTAACATCTAAAAAATTATCATGTCAAACACTGACCGTAAAGAAAACTTGAAGAAAAAGTTTATTTATATCAAAGGACATGAAAAACTAGCCGAGTGTTAGGGAAATTCGCTTCAAAGCGTCAAAGGAGCGCGGAATCAATATTAATGTTCTTGTTTACCTTTGAGTCGGGATGTAGATCGCGGGATCCCGCCGGATGACTCGAATTTATAATCAGGGGTGCTTTTATATCGCGACATGGGACGTGAGAACAGAGTTCGAAGGGCGGGACACTTGCTCATGTTGCACCTTCTCAATGAACTATTCGACCATTCTCACGATTGCAAAGAACAGCTGTATACAGTAATGACCACGGCGACATGTGCATATTCATTTGATTTTATTAGGGTTAAGCAAAGTTGATTGTACGTTTATGTAAATTAAGTATTGTAGATTAAAAGAAGAAGTTTAACAAGCAATAACCGTTGGAAAAATATGTTTTTAGAATAGCATTAATAACCATTTCAGGAAGTTGATTTGTTAACAGCTGCTTGACCTACAGATGAATATCTGCTAATGTCCAGGGTGCAAAAACTAAGAGTTCCGACATATCACCCACATGTGGTAAACATAGAAAAGACATCTGCAGCATCCTGTATAACGGCTAAGTATAAAAACAATTTCAATTTTCGCACATCTGTTTTCCTTGACCATATTTGTTATTTAATAGTTTAAATAGATACCAATAATAATCGTACTTTAATCCACAACTTAGTTCTCGTTCAGAATTTGTATTTTAGTCCTTGTTTCTTTTTAATAAATGTAAAACATTCCACCTTTGAGCAGTAACTTCAGCAAAGGCTTCTCAAGTCGCGGCAGTGCTTTGCTATTGCAAAGGGTAAAGCGAAAGTTTTACATTTGAGGCACGGTCGCGGTGCTTCCCGTTCCGCATCGTGAACTGACGCTTTTGACAACATTCGCTTTGATGACGAGATGTTGAAAAGAGTATTAAATTTTACCTTTTTCCTTTCTATCCGTCCACTCTGAAACGGTACTGAATTAAATTGCGTAAATACAGTGATAACTTTCATGTTTGCATATTTGTGCAGTGTCAGCTTCTAGTCAGCTATGTTTTGCGGTTTAATTTTAGATTAGTAACCACGTCAAAGCCAAATGAAACACCTACTGCTTATATTTGCGCAGTGAGAATGTCACAAGGGGCGAGTGACTTGACAAAGGTCAAAGAAACGATTACTGTAAAGTCAAGTACTGGTGGGTGCGGGGGCGTACAGAAAATTGTCCGGACGGGCGAGACACTGAGAATGATTCAATATACACGTTTGATTTACCCCAATAATGTGATACTTAATAGCCAAATATCGGACTCTAAGACATCTATAGAAAAAGAAATTTTAGAAACAAAATTCCATGTTCCGTAACAAAAAATAAATACATTGTGTTTATCGAGATTTTAATTTCATCAAATACAGTTCCGAAAAAACTTTTTTAATAGATTCGATTTATTAATTATATTAACATTTAAAATAAACAGGTGAATGGAATTATAAAGACGCTGAGGAATGTAGTTATTAATAAGATAGTGGTAAAGGGTGCATAAAATAATCTATTCATTTATTTTTTAGAAGGGTTAACCGGGATCACCTGAGCGGATAAAGGTAACGCAGGTACCCGTATGATTATGCTAAAAGATATAATAGGGGTGAGTGATGAACTGATGAAGTAGATAGCAACATATGTGCATGTCGACTATAGTGCATGCGGTACGCGAGCGCTTTGCTGCGAACCCTTGACCCGATTATGGCGCGCGCAGTATTATACACGCAGCAATGACACCGTTCGCCTTGAGCTGCTAGCATTGCCGGAGATATTTGCAACAATGGAGGCCAGATAACATTTCATAAGTTCGAAAATCCGTTGGTTCCTATCGGCTACCGGTTGTAATTAATAAACTTATTTTGAAATCTTATTGTTCACAAAATTGCCCTTAACATGATAAAATTTTTAGCAATTGTTAAATCGATTAAATTCAGGATACAAACGAGACGAGTGAGACATTGGCGCCGGCGCTGGCAATGCACGATGCACTCCTGCGACAATACGTAGTTCATCGAGAATTCCAACTACCGTCATTAAGTCGACATGACATGTACCGCATGTTAATTATCATAATGAATGCCTCGATACCACTTATCGCACTAGTACGATGCGCTATTGACTCATTGGAGGAAATAACGCGCGCTACTTAAAAATACAAAGAGCACTTCCGTTTCCTTTCTAAACTTTTTATGTCTTTAAAAAAATGTTTTCTCTCGATCGATTTTGCTTGTAGGCATAGTAGAGCAATAAAAAATGCGAAGGAAGTAATCGATCAGGGACGAGGCGTACGATTGCTGGAGATATCAGTGGCAACGGGACTGTTGCGTCAGATATTTCATTGGCAAAATTTAGCACACGGCAATCGGAATCGCGGCCGACAGACTCCGACTGCATTGTGCCGCTATAATAGGAGATAATGTTGTCGAGCTATTGCAAACTACCTAGTTTTTGATTTCTCTGCTTTTAATTGTGCCAATGAAACAGCTAAATGTAAAATTAAGTCGACTCACCTCTGTGGATCCGCGAAAACGAATTTTCTCAATTTGAGATCCCGTAACACGATGCCTTGTTCGTGACAAGCTGCAACGGTTTCAGCCATTTGCCTGAACAATCTTCGAGCTTCATGCTCCCGTAGCCTTTTCCGCGCTCTCACATACGAGTGTAGGTCGGAATGCGATCTTGGAAAGATTAGGTACACCCTCTTATCGCCGACTAGAACTTCATGTATTGGATTGACGTGCGGGTGCCCATCGAGGCGGTAGTGGGCTTGAAGTAAGCTGCTACAATCTCTCGACACCACCTAAGAAACAAAAATAGCTTGCGTCAGCAAAATAAAGTAGGTAGCGAATTACCTACTCAATCAATAAAAAATATCCCTCTCCTGTTATCATACAGTTATTATTAAATTTCTGAAGGTTTTCACTTCGAGGTCTTTTCCGGGAAACCGTATGAAAGTTTTTCCTTAACATGGTTATTATTGCATTATGGGGTCAAAGCTATTTGCTATGCCATGATGACCTAGTTTACCTACTTTGATTGCGTGACTGATGCTGTTTTAGCATTGTTACATTATTGAACAGTTAGATGTAACAGTTGATATTATTGTTCAAAGGATTGGGTACGTTACAAACTTAAAACACATTATAAATTGTAATCTAGCAAGAAAGTTAACTAGAATTTCTAAATGTGTTATTCTAAGTAATATTATTATAAAATAACCCCCTTATTCATAAAAACTAAAACGTCCCACAAACCTATTTTAACTAATTAGAGAGTTTTGTCACTGTCACTTTCTTTCAAATTGAGAAATTAGCACTAATGGAAAAGAAAACATTTTGACAGCTAAAATAGGTTTATAAGAGGTTTGACGTCTTATGAATAAGGAAGTAAAAGTTTAATATACAATATTAATACAATATTAAATTAATTAAAATCGTTTATTTAAAGTTTATGATTCTAAAGCAACTGTAATTGAAGGTTCGTCTCGTGAATAAAAGTAGAAATCTTTGAATGAATAGCTTTTTGAATGTTCAAGAGGTTTCAAATATACATTTTTTGTATGAATACATTTGCAATAAGATTTATCTAGTGTGTGCTACTCTGCTCTGATATTTACGCACATAAATATCTAGGACAATTTCAATAATCGTAAATCCGGTTGCATGTATAATGTATGTATATTTAAAATGGTTATTCCTAAAATCTTCTATTACAGGGTTTATTGATCCTTTAGTCATGCTTTTATTTCGGGCAGACTAATGTCATCGACTTTACAGGCGAAACTAAATCAGAATTTCCAACTCAGAAATGATGAATCACGTCGCGTGCTTTCAGCCATTTCTTTTTTATTCGTGTACTACGAGTATTAATAGTTATTCCACAGTCACCGCAGACCTATCGACGCGTCTTACCAATATAGATTACTAAGAGTTGTATAAAAATAAATCTTGACCCATTTGCAGACGTGTTTGCGAATAAAACATGCTGTTAGTACAATTCGTGATAAGAATTCGCGATGTTGACAGAGTACTTGATAAAATTTGGTTCTATATGCGTTTTACGGGAGCTAACCTACATAGTGTTATCAATTTGTTTAATCACAGTGTTGCAAAATATTGGTAAACGTTTAGGTTATTTAAAGTATGAAATGAGCACGAATTGTTGATAATAAAATTTATAAAATATGTATTTCGAATTATACAAGGAATAGGGTCGGGATCTATCTGGTAAGTAATTATAAAGGGACACTAAGTATAGAAACTGGAATTAAATTATTAAATCCGGTTTCAAGTTGACGCTAGGTTATAGTTTTTGTTCCAGGGCCGCTGGGGATTGGACGGTTGCGTTTGAATAAAATATACATGGACAATATCGAATTGTTATGCACATGGCTGTATCTGCTATTGTCTTGACCTCTGTACATTTTGAAGACTAGTAACTGAACAACGGTTATTTCGATTGTTTGCTGATTGATTGCGGTAACTAAAAATGATACCGTTAGTGGTATTCGATCGATTATTGTTGAAGTTTCATCTCTGGTTTTGTACTGGTACGAAAGTCAAATGTCGTGGAGAAACTGCGATGAATGTCGATTAATGTTGCTGGCGTTCTCGTGGTGCGCGAGTGGGGGCGCCGGCGCGGAGGGGGGCCCGTTAGCCTCGCTGTGACATTCGGCGATCGGCACGTTATCAACTCGTCTATTTCACAATGTCAATGAGAAGGTCACGCCTATTTTCGGGCTGATCCGTGAGCACGTGTGTTATTATCAGTTACTATAACTTCGTTGCGCGGTTCCGTTTATGATGGCTACGTTTAAAAATGCATCGGTATACATGTACGCGGTAATTAATGTGTGATTTATTAATATTTTATAAACTAATACTAGATATTAGAATGAATAGATTTTAAAACACAACACAATGGTCTGCGCAAACGGGGACAATTTTCCGTGGATAAAATTCCTTTTTATTATTAACCTTGTCTGCTCAGGCCTTAAGATGTTTTGTACGTGTATGTCAGTAGATAAAATTTCAGATAACTATAACAATGACAATATAATTTATTTCTGCGGAAGATGTATAAGGCAAGGGTCGTAAACGAGTTGCGTAGGCCGGGTACAACACACGGTGTATGTAGTTACAAATGTGCCAGTCGTGTCGGCAAGAATCGGTGTTGTAAATACGCTTGGCGTTTAGCAACACGCCGTTGCCTCACTTAACCTTGCCAGGTTCTCACGAGGGAGCTGCCTATTCTGCGCCTTGACAATACCCGTCTAAGCCTTTGTTAGGCTGGAACTATGTATCCTGTGTTGCCTAAATGGCCACCTCGTTTTCACGGAGGATGTTTTGAATAACCAGCATCCGTGGTCGCGTATCATTTGATTCACACTTTCCAAGAGTAATGAGAAACGCTGCGTCACTCATGAGTGACTTGAGTGACTAATTTTCAGTGTCCTGTATTCAAATTCTGGTGTGTACAATGTCAGCGTTTGAACCTCGATCAAATGTAAACCTTAATACTTTGTCTTAAGAGTCATTTTGCTTTATGTTATAGGCGGATTACAATCGCTAGATATACCAAAATTGGGACCCCGTTTACATTGGACACATGGGCGTTATTTGAAATTTGTTATAACTTTAATGTTATTAGCATTTATTGTTAATTGATTGCGAAAGCCGATGTACATGACATTGTAAACTTGCGATGGTTGTGGCCTACAAGTGCGTTCGAGCATCACGGGACCGTGACATATAAAGTAGCTATGACACCGGTGTTCTACTGATGCGATGAACAATGCATGCGAGATTTGTGAAAAAAATAAACAGTTATTCATATTTTAATTGTTTAAACAATAGCTAAACAGTAGTATTAACTGTCATTGCATTGTAACTTGTTTTGTGTCTACTTAAATATATTAATAAGTAGTTTCATATTTAAAACTTAACTTTGCGTGTTAAATAGAGCAAGTGACAGGTTAGTATAAAAACAAGTTATAAAAAATTACTAAAATGTAACTCACGAAATATAGACGTAGTATATCGAACACATTTACAGATTCAACAATACATTTGATCGTGAAAATGTATCAATTATAATTATTACATTAACTTTTGCCTTGAAAATATTATTTAATTGAATTATTTTCAATTAAGACATACACAAATTATTGATACTACAGCTCTAATAATGATCACATTTAAGTAGATACAGCATTTGTGAAATATAGGATAATTGCAATGAATGGAACACGACATGTGGGCATATTATATCGTATTTGGCTTATCTCTCCATGGGGTCTCAATCCCGTGGGATACAAGGAACCCTTCTAAATCCATCAAACATGGTCTTTGTTAGATAACACAGTATGATTAATAGTATTTACAAGTATTGATAATTAGATTAGTTACAAATTATTACACTACTCATAGCAGATTTTAGGCTAACATGTATATTTTGTTAGAATTAAACTATAAACTCCTTAATCATAAAAACGTAAAACCTCTCATAAGGGGGGAAAGGGATTGTTAGTAATGGAGATCGAGAATCCCATTGCGAACAATATACCCAACCAGGTCGACCTCCTCACGGTTCTCCCTGGAAACTATCATGGTTAATTTCTGATGAATTCATCATGATGGGCTAACTGGTCTGTTTTCATTCTCATCTATCATCACTCTTCACTGGTGCTCCGCCAGCGGGATTACCATACCATTTTCACCCATCAAAAAAAAACCTCTCCTAATTTTATTTTACCTATTGAAATATTTTGTCCTTTTCTTTTGCACTAAATCCTCAATTTGAAAGACAGTAATAAAGTATTTTAATGGTTAAATACGTTTGTAGGACGCTTCTAGTTTTATGAAAAAGAGGGTAACTGCTTTATTATCTAACTTTGACTATTCCATTAGAGAATATAGTGGTGAGAATAATTTTTATCTGTTTCATTTTGAAATATAGTTATAATTAATGCATAATATATAAGAAATATAATTATAATAAAAGATCTAATAGCTTTTTGCAATAACATTTGTCACTTACAGAAAATATTCACCTACCCACAATTGGCGCAGTAAATCAACTAAGAACTGTAATCAAGACATTCTAACTCTAAATAATTTTAATTTTTAGATTAGAACAAGGTGGTATAGGTATGATTTAGGTTTTATAGTCGCTAATTAATCAACAAATGGACCAGAGGTTAAATGTAAACAAGAGATTACGCACTGTATAAATATAACAAAGCCCGCGAATGATGTTGAAACTGGCCATATTTCGACACGCGACATGTCATACTTCACTCGGTAGGTATCTTAACCTAAGCAATTGATTAATTACTGTCTGTGGACACACAGACAACACTTCTATGATTTGATAGATAAAGAGTTTTCTCTATGTTATTATCTTACATTATACAGATAGAGAATCGAGCCTCAAAAAACGGGTCAACTTTTTGTCAGCTAATTGTCAAATTAGCTAACTCGTTTTTTTTACCAGTATTTTATATACTTACGCATAAAATGTATCTCGACGTTTTATTTACGAGTAATAAATAAAATGAGTGTTTACACATTAAAAAGATGCAGAATTTATATGACAAAATAAATATAGAAGTTATAAAGGAACTCATAAGTATTGATTACGCAAAATTGTATGAAAAAGTGGACCCGTTTTTCTTGAAGCATTTCTATGGAGACACCTATCTATATAATCTAAGGTTATTATATTTATGATTTATTTTTGATAAAACAAAATATCAATAATTTATGTTTAATTGCATGAAATTATTACTAACTGGAGATGTTAATTACGCAAAGAATAATAATAAAAATTAAAATAAAAAATTGAGTTATTATTTTCAACATTTTTTTTTTGATAAAGCATTAGTTATTAGTTTTAATGTTATGAAATTAATTACTCATTCTAGATATTAATTGTGAAATAGTAGTTTAAATTTGAAGTGAATCAGGTACACTGTCATGTGTCATAAAAGTTGTGACATGCAGTGTAATGTTTGATGATTAACTATACTGTTTAAATTTAAAAAATTAACTCACAGTGTGCTCCTGCCATAGAATGGGCCACCCCTTTCTTTCCCGTGGGTGCCGTAAGAAGCGACTAAGGGAACTTAATGGTCGAGGGATGGGCATTAGCATCCCTCTAAAATATCAGAAAGTCTAACTACGGTTGCCAATCTGCCTGCCAAGTGTGGTAACTATTGGCAAAACCCCTTTATGGGGGAGATCTATGATCAGCAGTTAATCAATTAATGTGCGAAATAATCAATTAACTGGAAAACACAGCAAGTCATTATTTTTAAGAAATTAAATAAATGCCTATAGGTAACAAATCGTTTAATGTAATAATTAATTTATATCGACTGTTTATTTATCTTTATCGATGATAAAAAAAGCTGATTAATGTAATAATAATTAATATTTGATGTTAAATGCGTGTGTAAGGCCGATATAAATAAATATAGTATGACTCACACTCGTTATTATTAAAAAAAAAGTTTTATCGTCTGTCTTTGAAAAATAGGTTCTCAATGTACCTGTACCTTTTTATTTCTTTTTTGTGCCATGACTTCATCGACTCCAGTGATTGTATTTAAAGTAAAGAGTTTTGCTTCGTTCTCATAGATTAAGGATAGTACCGGCATTCACTTTCTTAGTTCACTCTTGTTTAGGTATCATCGTACCGTCTATGAGTGCCATGCTATATTTCACAGATTATGTAAGACTAGCTGTAATGCGCGGCTTTGCTGTGAATCAGTACAAAACCTATCCCCTAACTTGGGATATAACCTATCTGTGTACCAAATCCGTTCATTATTTTCTGTTTAAAAGAGTAACAAATATCCATCTATCATTACAAACTTTCGCACTTATTATTAATAGGATTAAAGTAGCTTTTCATAAATCAAAATCTTTACCACGTAAGCTCTAGGAATAGAATTTTAGAATTACATTTTTAATATTTATGTCAAACGATATTGTGCTAATGGATTTGTTAAGACCATTTCTTATTTTAAGTAACGAAAGTAGGTATCTAGGTAAATATGTAGGTGTAAACTATAGTCTACAGTCCTACATTTGAAATTAGCAATAAAAAAAAAAAAAAAACTTTGATGAAAAAAGGATGTGTAAAGATTAGATAAGTTTTATAAAAGAAATATATGAATTGTAGTTAATTATCTACTAAATATATTATTTTAAGCTCATTAACGTAATTATCTCCATAAAAATTGATTGATGTTGGAATAAATTGGTATAGATACTAAGGTATAAATACTTATGCGTTATTAAGGTTATCGTATTGGGGAAAGCTTTACAATTTTATTATAACTTTTTATTATAAATAATATAATGTATTATTAAAAAAAAAAAAGGAAAATGTTGCCAAATAATAAAAGTATATATACACTTCCACATTATCAAATTGAATGGTTTGTCAACTTTATCAAACCGCAAATAAAATAAAAAAAAAATGTAGATTATATAATAATATTTTTGGTTAGGTACCTATCTTTCTATCACGTAGGCACCTGTTTTTTACCTACACGTTTTTACTTTTTTATTGATAAGACTGGTTAAGGTATCTGTTCGTACTACAAGAAGGTAGGTAACTATATAATTTAATCCGCTATTTATTGGAAGTCGTAAACTACTCGTCATCTAATCAAATTGTATTACACACAGGGTGAAGGTACCAGCTGACGCCGCGTTTCATTTGTGATCTTTGTAAAAACAGTTTCAGCAAACAGATATGTAATTTTTTTTAGATATTCTGCTATATCTAACAACTAAATTACGCAATTATAATAGAAATAATGAAAAAAAAAATTTTTTTTAGTTCTCGAACACTTACACTTTTCGTTCAAATTTTTGATAGTTTTTTATCATGAATGAACATTAATTTTGGATAAATATAAATATATAACGTTAAATATTACGCATACTATGTACAAAATGTACAAATGTAATTTAGTTGTATTGCTTATAGCTTTAACTTTTAAAAATAATAACTGATTGTGAGCTTTTTGTATACAATTTATTAGTCGTCCACTAGACGTCAATTCCCGACCACCATAAAACATGTTTCTATATATGATTCAACGCAAGAAAACGCCGGCCACGTTCTGACATATGAATTTATTTCTTGCCATAATATTATGCAGAAAAATAAGAGTTCTTTAAAAATTAGACTAAAACAGATGGAGTGGAGGATTCCGATCGAGTAGTTCTAAGCTGAGCCTTCAGCGATAGTTTATTATTTTAATAAAAATATCGAACTATGAATCAAAAAGATTGTCGGCAGTGAAATACAATAGGTATTTTATGTTCTATGCACATTTACTTAATTGGTTAAAATTCTTGAATACATTTTGTATTTACGATTGAAAATTTGCCTTCTCATATTTTTTTGTCAGTGTTGACGTCACATATGCACATAAGATACGCACAGAGGCTGTAGTTTTTTGTACTGTTGATCTTTATTAACAGGGTCATTGATCGTTTAACTATTGAAAATGTTAGACTTGCTATTAAAATTGTAAATGTCTAGGAGTACAGCACATTCACCCTATCTTTCTACTTATAGTGGTGCAAATTAGTTCACATTAATAATAGGATTCCAATTCAATCCACATCGATATGATCGAAGTCGTCAGCCCATATTATGATACATTCTAAGAACCTTTGGATACATTATTTATTACATACATAGAAAATATAAAATAGTTTCTCAATATAGTCAAAGATGAAGTAACAAGACACATACAATAGCATATTACTAAATATTAAAATATGCATGTTACCTTAGGCAAATTAACTTACGTACTCAATCTAATTGCTAAATTTGAAAATAGAATCATTCTTTTTAAAAAAAAAAAAATTCTCGTCTAAGCACTGAACTAGATTCACAGTTGTTCACGGTTTATCTCATTATCGTGATGTGATGATTCGATTAGAAAAGTGATGTGCTTGTTCTATCGATTCGACGGTGATAGACTTCTTAGTTATGTAAATAAGTATTTAATACCTACGCCCCTTACTTATTAGGTATCATCACATCAATCGTTCGATGAAAAACTCAGACGTCCATATTAATCTAGATACTAAGGTACTTTATTTATTTATCACCTGTAATCTGTAATACATACCAATGAATGATGGCTACTACCTACCTAAATAAATACTATTAATATATTTTGTACTACTGCACACAAAGGAGTTTGTTTTGTGTATATATTTTCCTTATGAAGGAATACGTACGATCTCGAATTTTAATTTTCGATTTTCTTTATTCCAATGTTAGATACTTTATTACATTCTATGTAAAAAAAAGTATTACTGATTGCAAAACCTGGCTACAATGTCCTACGTGCAACCTATTAAAACTACCTATAAGTTGTCCTGGCCTCGAAAGTTAAACTAGTTTAGCAAGATATCTGTATGCACTTACTTTACAAACATATTCCTCTTGTGTGCGCACGTCCACACATCGGCATAAGGATGACCCTTCCACTTGTTCCAGTAAGAGGTATTTTTCAGCTACGAGAGCCGCTTGGAAGTGGTGTTGAGGGGGTGCAGGACTGCTAGGCGCCGGGCTGGTGGGTGAGGGCGCTACCGTCAACCGCTCCGCTAGGACCGGCGACTGCGATCTATCCTCCGCCTTGCTATGTTCCCCGCTCGACGTTACCGGTGTTACGGCCGGCTTGCTCATACGCAGCGGCCACAACAGCGAAGGCGATCCAGGATCCATCACAAACACAACACTGTCACACTAAGTTCACAACACAACACAAAACACTTAAAACGATGAGGAACTACGATGAGATGTACATGATCTGCAACAAACAATCCCTATTAGAAACTGTACTTGACCGTCTTTGCGAATTTATTGCGAACACAAGTTACAAAACATAAATGAAACGACTACTACTACGAGACAATCGTCGATTTAGTAACGTTATTTAGTAAGGGGAAATTACGAATGAAGTACGAACCTTGAAATGATTCGCCCTGAGTGGATATCGTACCAAAATTTGACTGTCCGTGGCGATGTATACGTCCCTAAGTTGCGTAAAAGAATTACAAGAAGTGTTTTCGAGTAATTCGAGCAGGAGTAGACAGGCCAATATTTTGGGCCGGTGTCCGCTCGGGTTGATGTTAAACTAAACGAACACACAACTAACTCCTACTAACGCCATTGCGAGACTGACGGCGATTTGCCGTTTTCGGCGTCACGGCGGCGTTCGGCGTACGTCAGCGATCGCGAAGCCTCGCTCGGGCCGGCAACCGAACCAACGTCCAATGTCGACACAGCGTCAGCTTGCGTAGTACGAGAGACTACGCCATGCGTTTTGTAGACGCAATAATAATGTGTTATCTATCTCTTTTTGATACATTATATTAACATTCTATGGAAAGGGAAAGAATATTACCATTCATTTAGGTTTGGCAATACTTTAATGTCAACAAATTACTATTTATCCATTAATTTTTCATAAGAACGGGTAGGTGTAATTATTGTTGTATTTATTATATTGAACATATACAAAGTAATAATATTAGATAGACTTTTAATTAATTACTGTACCTGTATAATTTGTAATGTAAGTTATTGTCTATGTACTTGATTAAATATGTGCGTGAAATAGGTAATTATGTAAATAAAAAGTAATGTAAATATAAGTGTCAGTGCACATATTTTTGTATACTTACTGTAATCTAAGATAGGTACTTAAAAATGAGAAGACCCATCTAAAAATGAGTATTGCAACATTATTTGCCTAATTAGATGGGGATTCCCAAAATTATTTAAACCTTAAATTAATCTTTGATCTCACTTATTTAGATTAATCTACTAGGGATTTCTTGAACCTATAATTCTACAAAAAGACTCTTGACTCCTTACGAGCAAACGTAGTGTAGAACGACCAGGGAGTCAGTGGATGGATGACAGTCTATGGGGAAGGCTCATGTTCAGCAGCGGATGGATAATGACTGAAATAATTATGATGATGATAATTCTGTATTATCTAGACATACAATATCGAAATCCTTCTATTAGGGTAACTGCCAATTATTTTAAAAGGTAATTTGGTACTTACATATAGTACCTATAAATATTTAGACTTCATCCACTAATCCTAATTCCTAACAAGTCCTTACTCTTTTCTAACGTATAGCTATATATATACTCGAGAACGAAGTCTAACGTATAATAACTATCATTTTACACAAATATTTCAAGTTATCATGTTCCATGTTGTTACAGGAAATGTAGAGAAGTTTGACAGTATATCTAGGGCTTGCCTACATAACTTTACTTTTTTTTTAAATTTATTATACTATATTATACCCTATTTCGCATATATTGCATAAATTAAAAAAAAAAATTAATACCTAACTTGATGATGAATTGGAAATTGCGAGATTCGAAAAATGAGTCATTGATGATTTACCTATGTACATTCATCGATTTTTGGTTTACACGTAACAGCCATATCTAGCCTATCTGTGTAGGTATCTATCTGTAATCTGTAAATGCTTGATCTATGTATATGTTTAATATTGGAAATAGATAATGTCCAGTCATGGCCGTAAAAATGTCAATAAAATAGCTAATTAAGCAGGTTTTTTCAATTGCATAATAAGGTTTTTTTACGCCAAAAATAGGAAATCGATTTTAATGTAAAACGACTAGGTGTATCTTCAAACATTTTCTTAATGAGTAAGTATGCAATTTTAACTCCGTTGCGCTATCGTTATACTCGTACGTTGGCGGGGCACCAGTGAGTGATAATTCCGAAAAATTCACCATGCGTATATTGCTAGCAATGGGGCTGTTAGACCCTATCATTAACAATCCCTTTTTCCTTCCTCCTGCAAACATATTAGGTACACAATGGCAGAGTTCTATATAATCCATCTATCTGACATACTGTTACACAATCATGCAAATATTTCATAGAACTTAACATAAATGGATTGTCTATGCACACGAAAAACATTTTGTCTATGATATAAAATTTATCTTTGTGTAAGCCGTCTAGTTGCACAACACGTATGCTTTGTTGCATATTTATATTTTACTTTCAGGGATACTTTTATTATTCAGGATTTTTACATTGATGTTCAGTAAAAAAATATAACAAAAAACTATATAAAGCACCATTTTTAAATAATTTATTTAAAAGGTAGTAATATCGCATGCGCAGATCTATTACTTTTTTCTTTCCATTGGCTTCAATAGTTAGTATGCTTCAAAAATATTGAAAGTGTAAAGGGAAAGGGACGAAGTTGAGCGCTGAACATTGATTTACTACAGCTTATTTACTTTACATTGTATCTCTTAACTTGTAGGCGGCAGGCGGTGCATAGTGGCTAACTTGCAGGCCCAGATTTAATGCATGTCTTTTTGTTCGCTAATTTTCTTAGAAATAGAACAAATTAATCGTTATTGCTCTGTAGTTACAGCAGAAAATTCAATAACACGGTTCAGAATTTCACTCCCCTTCGAAAGAATTTTGCCATACACAATGGGCAATAAAACTGCATATTTTCTGTCCACGAGCACATTTTATTCAAGACTAGCTATATCCCGCGGCTTGGTTCTCGTGAATCAGAACATAAAGTCCGTGTGCTTAGTTAGAATATAACTTTTTTATTTATTTATTTATCATAATTTAAATAAATAAATAAAAAAAATAAAGAATATAACTTACCCTTGTACCAAATTTTATTAAAATTCATTCAGTAGTTGATGCGTGAAAGAATAACAAACAAACATCCACCTATCCATCGTTATTAACTTTTACATTTATTATATTAATAGGATAAAAGCAGAATGCAGTTCATCCTTTTATCTATATATTTTTATATATATGTATCTTTTTATATTACGTAAAGCAAAAACTTTTTACTCTTTTTTACAAATATTGCGCGTACGGAGGAATATGAAATTTCGCACACTTATACTTTTTATAGAAGGAGTGCAGAATACTATTTTTTTTTATCTACGCATAAAAATACATTATACAAATAAAAAAAAAAAACATTACATACACTACCGTGTAATTAACACACGCAAGAGTATTATATATTCTTTTGTTTATTGTTTTAGGTTAAAATCTGTGGTTAAATTGAGAATAGATTGTTTATCTTTAGTCTTTAATAGATTTCCTTAGATAAGGAAATCTTTGTTTTATATTATTTGTCTATAGTTTTACTGAATATCAAATATAACAATAATAAATTAATTTATTACAATATATGTTATGGTCTAATTTTGACCATTAGTTAAAATTAAAAGATTACATAAGATAATATGAGATTTCAATAATTAAATGAAATGATAATATCCATCGGCAATCGCCTGCCAATATCATATCTACATGTTTAAATTTTAGACAATAAGCCTGTGATTTAGATATCCGGTTTAAAATTTATTTACTTGTAATATTTGAGCAAGTACAAGGTTACAAGTTACACTTGTATATAGCACTGCAGTGAGTATGAATAAAAGTTACCTTATTAATTGTATCTTTTTAAGTGTCTATGGTACGTTTGCTCTATTATTCGGTTAAGTAGTACCCATAGACATAGATTTAAATAGATGTGCGCAAGCGTGTGTGTACTACTTGGTAATTTTTGACTTTTTGGTGTCCAATTGGTATATTAGTTGTGTGTATAATCATATACATGAGTGGATTTTAAAAAAATATTTCATTACTCATTGATCACCTACGGTGGGGTTTCTACTGAAAGAGGAAAACAAAAGAAATAAAATATTACAGGAAAATGTGGCACGCTCAAATTTTATATCGATCGGTACTTAAGAATAGATACCTTATTTTCATTTTCATCGTGCCTCCCACCAAACTGTTTATAATTACTCCTCTCCATCCAAAGGTTGCCTGGAAGAGATCGCTCTTAGCGATAAGGTCGCCCATTGTTTTCTCATTGTGATTATTTCTTGTAATTATTTATATGTATAATAAGTTTACTATTGTAATCTTTTGGAGGAAACAATAAAGAGTATCTATCTATCTATCTATCTATCTTATTTTTATGGTGATCTTAACAAAAATTTGATTATCTATCTGGGATTATCAATTTGTTTGTTTAATCTCAGCGTCTCACTGTGACGTCAATTGAGGTAGAGCCTTTCAATTTACATAAAAACAAGCTTACGTTAGATTAAATTTCTTTTATGATTAAAGCCTGCTTTAGAACGCAGCACCACGCCAATGCCAGCATAGAAAAAATATTTACTTTATCTATGGTGTTTCGTTTATGTGCATCGTTTTTAATCTCGGACATGAAGTCTTTGATAATGTAAAAAAGTGTACATTAAGGATAATATCTGAAAAAAGGATGTTTCAACAAAAACTTACGTTACAAATAGGTTTTTTTTTTTATTAAATTGTGGTCTTAACCAACAATTGGCATATGTATTTTATGTGTGTACGTTGTAATATCTTCGCCAAACCTATACAGATTTTGACGTTTCCCTCTGTATTCGACAGGTTTTACTCTTGTGTTTATTCCGTACCAATGAAATCTTAAAATATTTAATTAAATGAGACCCTATTATTTTTGTTAAATGGTGAAATGTTGACCATACAATTTATGAGAATCTTTTGTTACGAACTATCAAAACTAGACCTTTACACATTACACTAACTCTTACCTCTTAATTTACATATCCTACTAATATTACATTTATGAAAGTATGTAGAAATATTTGGATGTTTTTTTATTCAATTACACATAAATAGCTAAACCGATTTGAGCTTTGTTATACATATAGACTGAACCCTAGATTAACGATTAGTATGCTTATCCTATGGACATAGGAACAGTGTACAAATATTTAAAAAAATAATAAAAAAAAATCACTCACCCTTCCAAAGTTATTCATCTATTATTGTTCTATCAGTACACGCGATATGAGTAATCTAATTTATTAAATAAATTTGACTAAAATCCAAAAGCAACTTCCGCCACGGACGTACAACTGAAACTGACGACAATTGTTGCCACAATTAGCTATATATATAAATTGCACAACATTTTTTTGTTGTTGTGCAAATACCTGCAACTTGCAAAGTGAATAACTCATAATATCACTCATGATATGCATACACCAAAAACTGAATTATGACCATTTTGTATTACTATGGCACACGCATGAAAGAAGAAAATTGTTGTTTTATATATTTTGCTTTTTTTTGTGGCTTTTTTTCATTCTTTTATATTTTTTTTTATTGAGTGTCTGTATTATGTGTAT